GTGGAATTGAGTGTTTTCGGGTAGAACTTAGGAATTTCAAAATTTGGGGATTTAGACCTCAAATCGAGGTCAGATTCCAAAACCAATTATATATCCGGGCTTGGGGGTGAATGGATAATCGGGTTTTGGTTCGAATTTCGGGTTTGGACCAAGCAGGCCCGGGTTTTGACTTTTGTTGACTTTTTCAAAAATGGCCTAAATTGAATTCTTTGCAATCGTGGGTAGATCCTAAGGCTTTATTTGAATCGTTTGGTTGGTAAATTGCTAGATTCTATTGGTCCGGAGGCTTGTGTGAAGGGAAAAGCTGTGATTGAGCTTTGAGTTTGGTCGTTGGAGCGAGGTAAGTGTCGTGGTTAACCTTGGCTTGATGGATTAGGTATTATTTGCCTATTTGCTACGTGTTTGGATGTTGAGTACAACGTATAGGTGAGGTGACGAGCACCTATGCGTTGTGGTCGAGTCATAGCATGCGAGTGAGTGTTATTCTTGTAACTGTTGTATTATTTGATCATATTGTTCATGCTTAGACTAGCTATTCATTATGTTGAGCAACTCTTATCATGTTTTACGGAATTTGGTATTGATTGAGTATTGACTCAAAGTTCAGGTTGGTATTGTGGAACTAAATGTTGAAGTAAGATTGGTTTTTGATATTTCTATCTCTCTGTTGTTATTGTTCATCGTTTTGGTGAGGGAGAGTGTTAAAGCACGAAGGGTGATGCCGTGCAATGTTTTGTGAGTGCGAGTTAATGCATGAAGGGTGATGTCGTGCCATGATATGTAAGTGTTAATGCACGAAGGGTGATGCCGTGACGTTTCTTTTGTTTATATGGTGAGGATGAGAGTTAATGCACGAAGGGTGATGCCGTGCTGTTTCTGTTAATTATTATGGTGAGGTTGAGAGTAAAAGCACGAAGGGAGATGCCGTGTACTTGTCTTTACTTTGTTTAATACTTACATTGGTGCAAAGCATATTGTCTGTTGTGGTTTCTTTACTGTTACAATTTTTTTTATCTTGTACTCCCCTCAGCATGTTTCCCCTCCCGTTATTATCTATTCAGCTTCTATTAGTTGTTATTGTGCTCGTATATTGTTTAACTGCACAGGTTTATGAGTATGCCTTGTCTTAGCCTCGTCACTACTTCGCCGAGGTTAGACTCGACACTTACCAGTACATGGGGTCGGTTGTACTGATACTGCACTCTGCACTTTCTGTGCAGATTTTGGTACCGGACCGAGTTAACCTTGAGTCTAGCTGCTGGCTTGATCTGTTTGGAGACCCAAGGCAGTCCTGTTGGCGTCCGCAGGCCCTGGCGTCCCCTTCTGTGCATTTCCTTTACCGTTTCATTTATATCAAAAACAGTTGTATTTCCTTCAAACACCTTACTTGTAGCTAAATCTTAGTAGTTTGTGGATTGTGACACCAGATACTGGGTAGTTGTGTATAAGTATTAAAGTTGTTATGGATTTAGGCGCTTTTCTTTTTACCTTGTTATGGCTTATTTGATGTTTATCATTGAAAAACTTAAGAATTTGGCTTAATGATCTCTATCTTTGGCTTGCCTAGCAAGTGGAATGTTAGGCGCCATCACGGTCCCGACGGTGGGAATTCCGGGTCGTGACATAATGTTAGGCTAAAAATCCATATTTTTGCATGTAATTCGCCTTATATTATGCCTTGATCTTGTTAACTTTGGTGTTAATATTTGTGACTCGAGCTTAATAATGGTGTTTATAGGTGTAGGAGTCAACTAAAAGTGATTTGGCAAGTTTGCATGCAAACTGAAGTAAAAATAGGAAGAATTTGGAGGGAGTATGACTTTGGTGCACAGGTTCGCGCCAGGCACCAACCAAAACTCCAAGGCAGCAGAGCACAAAAGTGGAAAAAGTTTGGTGTCCATGTTGGCGCCAGGGTCCAAGCGAGACGCCAAGGACGAATTTCATCCCAATTCAGCTAGGACTTGGTAGTTTCGACCTTACACGCCCCCAACATGTATAAAAGAGGTTCTAAACCTATTTCTTAAGAGTGAGAGATCTTATTGGAGAGGAAATAAGGCTACGGGAATACTTTTAAGCAACGAATCACAAGGGTTATCTTTTCCGTTCTTCCTTAATCAATATTTTAATGATTTCAATTATTATTATGATTGTTAGTATAGTTATGAGTAGCTAAACTTCCTCATCTAGGGTTTGATGGAACCTTTTGAAGGATGATATTTTGTTGCATTTAATATAATCTTCTCGTTGGATTTTATCTACTTGTTCAACTACGTGATTATCTTAGTTGATTGAAGGACCCTCAATTGACTGTGCCTATTTAGTGTGTATTGCTTAGAAAAGGGTACATATTTAGGTAGTTGTTGAACAATATCACTCCTTACGTATGTGAGGAATCAATACGGAGGGTTTAAAGGTGGTATTAGGAATAATGTAATATTGTTGAGATCTTAATAAGTGGTAAACTAGTGTCAGCTAGCGTAATTCGGAAGAATACGTCTAGTAAATTTTGGTAGTTGCTCGGAAGAGAATTACGACACCCGAGGTACTCACAATCGGTAGAGAATACTTAGGCGAAATTATAGGATACGTCACGGTAAGGATTCCGATAATTGGGGAAATCACAACTCTAGGCTTCTCTTAATCTTGTCTCCAAACCTTAGTATCTTTTGTTGTTAATTTACTATTTTAATTTTTTAATTAATTAGTTATACATAAGAATCTTTATATTTATAACTTCATAATTTGTTCAAACTTATCTTCTCAGTGATAGTAAACAGTTATAGCTAACCCTTAGTTCTCTGTGGGATTCGACTCCGGACTCTTAAACTGGATTATATTTGCAGTTACCGCTTAGTCCTTTTTATAAGGCATAGTTGTGCGTGATCATAGACCTCGTACCTTTTGCAAAAGTCGAGGACTATTGTATCCACCGGGCCAAACGTGAAGGGGTATGTATAAACACTCAGATACCCCTCCACATGTGTGGTGATGTCCTAATCAGGGCTAGGGACGACCAGTTCCTTGCGCTCTCACTTGTAGTCCTCTCGTACCGTCGGGAGCGTGTCCTCGGTGATGGAGCATATGTACCTCCACACCTCCTCGCCTCGATCCCCTTTCTTGGAGACTTTTTCAACCTTAAAGTCATTTTCTATAGAGCAGCCTCCGGGGATGAAATTCTTTAGAGGAGGTTTCGGGGCCACTTAAGGTACGACCACCTCGACATCCATGCTCAGGTTAGAAGTTGAAGGGTGGTCTGTTGGGGCACATATTTCGAAATTTTTGCTATCGAATTCTGGAAATATGAATGTATGAAGGCGGATATGATGGTTTGAAAGTGAGAATGAAGGTTTGAAGGTCAAACTTGAAGATTCAAGGATGAAATATGAAGATTTGAAGATGGGAAGATGAAGATATGAGTATATGAAGAACAATGTATGAAGATTTGAAGGGGTTAAGAACAAGTAAAACGTTCTGGGGTAAATTAAGAAGTTCTGGAATCGGAAAGTAAAAAATAAAAAAAGAACTGAAGCTTTTATAGGGAAGAGGTAATTAATGCATGATGTTTCGCATTCGAGGACGATCAACTGCCGGCTGAAATGTGTCCGAAGTCAGAACGACGCGACTGATGGGACGTTTCACTGACCTATCTACCCGATTGCAGCTTACAAAGAGAGGAGTCGTGGTCAGTTAATCACTTCTCACCGCTTCGATAAATCTGCTCCCCAAAAAGTGAGGGGACTATCTGTGTACAAGTAAAATCGGATATAATTCTACCTCCGTTTTCCTGGTAAAGAAACAAGAGGGAATGGTCTAACGCAACCTTGAGTAAAGCCGAAAGGTTCCTCGTTTCTGAGCCCGGAGAGGACATACTGTGCATCCGAGATCATACACGACTAAGCATCAGGTCCGGGCAGAGTGGAGGTTCGAGACTAAGGAAAACGAGGAACGGTTAATCACGATAAGCGGGGAGCCATGATATCTGCCCTCAACCGGATATTACGGCACAAGTCCCGCCCGATGCCAACTGCAGATCAACATTTACCGAAAAAGAAGATTTTTACCTTATTTAGACTTGTACTAGGACTGAAACTCCGCTACTATATAAATGGGAGAACTTTTTCGTTTTAAACCACCGTTGGCACACATGTATAGCAATAAAGTTCATTTTTATCTTCTAATTGTTGTTCAAAGTGTTCTTTAGTTTTCCTTTTCTTTAGTTACAACCGAGCCCGTATCGAGGTCTTGATCGGAGCCAGTCAAATCAAAGTCAGGTTTAATTGTTCCATCACGTTTGGTTTGATCATTTTGTATCTCTTTAATTTGATTATTTGTTGTTCTTAGATCATTCGTGTTAAATTAAATCACGTATCCACTAAACCGCGAACAAATTTAATTGTTACTCATTTTAAGGATAAACAAACGTCACTTTAGTATTTGTACCTAGATATATTGACGAAAATCTACTCTGAATCAGCACCTTCATGCCTCAAATCGTTTTTTCACACACAAAACATTAAAACACTATCTTATCTTTTATTATTAATTGTTACTACCTCTTAAATAGGAGTATTAATTATCCTTTTTTAGTACTTTCATCTCTAATATTTCCAACAGGATAATATTGTTGTGTTACGTACGCTTATAAGTTATTGTGAATAAAAGAATATTGGATATAATATTGATGATGTTATGCTTGTAATTGTGTAATGTTAATATGTTATACTAATGTTTAGAGTAACTTACTATGTTAAAAAAGGGTAATTGCATGTAATTAAGTGGCAACATATTGTATGTTCAAGGAATCAATAACTGTAAATTTTGAATCAAACGTGAACTGTTTTCCCGCAAGCATTTCATCGGAAAGTCATTATATAAATCAATGAACTAAAAATTTCTTAACTTCATTAAAATACATTTCCACAAAATAGGTTAAAGCTAAAGATGAATATAAATTAAAAACTTCCTAAACTTATTCAACTAAGAAGCATTAAGAAACAAGATTGAGATCAATTCTGTAACTCTAGTAATTATCATTTCCTAGTTTAAGAACGGTCGCAGGTTCAAGCGATGGAAACAAATATATCTTGCTGAAATTATAAAGTAAGATTGCGTACAGTTAGACCAACATGGTCATTCCTTTTCAGAGTACCCTGCACATAACATAACCTTATAACATTGACACTGTTTTTTTCCCCCTATGTTATCAAAGGAACATCAAACAAACTCCTTAATGAAATTAATAATAGCAGCAGCTCTTCGACTATCAACAACATCAATTCCATGAAATCCAACATCATCAAACCTAGCTTCAACCACAACTCCTTCCTTAACTAACATTTGCACAAAATCTTGTTGCCTATCAACCAAAGGATCACCTCCAAATCCAATCACCAAACATCTTCCAAGATTCTTAATCTTGTCCCTATAAGGTCCATCTGCTATTGGATTACAAAACCTATGATCCCTATCTGTCCCTTGTGGCAATGCTAAATCCCAAAGAACATCAATTACCGGTAAAGGAAAGAATGTATCTGTAGCCAACCTCATTTCAGATTTTGTCCTCATTTTACCTCCGAAAAGGGGTTGGTTCATTATAATTCCATTGATACGTAATGGCTCTATTTTTCGATCAAGAAGTTTAAGTGCAGAGTTAAAAGCAATGTTTCCTCCACAACTTACACCATAAAGGTAACACCTTGAGAAATCTCCATAATCCCTTAGCCATTTCTCACCATTAACACGATCCAATTGGTTCTTGATCCAAAGAACTGTTTCAACTGCGTCATAATACGGTGCAGGGAGTTTATTTTCGGGTGCAAGACGATATTCTACGGACACAACTATGGCTGGGATCTCACTAGAGAGCTGGTTACAACTTTCATGGATCATAGTATTTGCTATGCTGAAATGAATCCACCCTCCTGCATTGACATATAAAGTCTCTATTCAATCACATTGTGTTTAATATAATGCAACAACAACAACAGCATACCCATTATAATTCCACAAGTGGGGTCTGATAGGGTAGTATGTACGAGGCAGATTTACGGGGGCGAAATTTCGCCAAAAAATTACACTGGATAAATAAGGCAAATTCCGTTTTGTATCTCTATATATTATATTTTGAATTCACTTGACACAGCCCAAAAGCATAGCTCAGTAATCAAGGACGTTCAAAACCTTTGTGAAGTCGCCCACACTCTCTTTTAATTTTTTAACTTTTTCTTTTATGAACCCCTTAGCGACTATCCTGCCTCCGCCACTATGTACACATACCTTACTCCTACCTTGTGCAAGGAAAGAGGTTATTTCTGATACAGTCTCGGCCCAAGAAAAATAATTCTCAGCAGGTTTGAAAAAGAAGTGTTTAATTTAAGAAAAAATGACACTGTATAGCCACTCTCAAACTAATAGCCGAAAAGGTGATAACTTGATTTTCCAAATTTTATACTCTTTTTCGGCTAGCAAATATAAATAATTTATAGCGTGGGCCAAAAGTGATAATACCCCTTAATATAATGCAAAGAAGAACTAAAATCGACAAGAAGCATATTAGTAAAATTCTGACATGATTTAAAATAAAAAATACTAACATAACGAGATGTGCACCAACCTGCATGGAAGTAAATTATGATGGGAAGTTTTGCGACGGATTTATCATTGGAAGGCAATTTACTTGGACGATAAAGTCTGATCCAAGTTTTCTTGTCTGCATTTAAAGTGATATCTTTACTAACAACGGATTGGCCAGGGAGATGTCCTTTATCACCAGTGGCTTGTGTTGTAGGAAAATCAAAGAGACGAGTTAAAGTTCCATCTTTATTCAGCAACACATTGAGGTGGTCGTAAGGATCAAATTTTGACATGGTTACGAAAGATAAAAAAAATTGGCAATATTTAGGTAAAGGGGAGACTGAATTATGAGTGTTAATTTGTATCAGCTCGATGCAACCAAGAATAATAATTAAATTGTGCAAAAAGTTGGAGTATATTTTTGTCATAATAGGGTTGTGAGAAATACAGGTCTAGCCTTAACCCTCGGACAAGTTTGAGCTTGTAACACGAAAAGTGGATTTTGGTTGTAAAATACATGCATGTTAGTTTTACATTTGACGACTTCTTCTTTATGTTCCTAGTAATTTGGTAGATTTTTTTTTTTTTTTTTTTTTTTAAAACCGTTTTCTTATCCTTTCATTATGAACATATATGTCGCTATATATATGTACACGTGCAAATTTGAGTTGGGTGAGTGTGTTTTTAGTGATGCTTAATTTATCTTGACCTAACTCATATTTATCTAAGAAAATGTCTGATAGCTTGACCCATGATCAATTTATTAATTTAATGCATTTTACTCACTAGCAATTTGAATTTTAAACAGTAAAAAGGTAATCAGACTTGATTTGAGTGGTGCATTTTGGATTGTAAATTCTCCCACCACGTAATAAAAGGAGGGAATATATGCCATTTTACCATCCTGTCACAGAAATTTGTAGGGCAATTATATTATTTCTTATTCAACGAACTAATATTCTGTAGACATGATGGTAATACCTAAAGTTAGTAATAATGAATCATCACAAAGCGGCAAATGATTATGACAGTACTCCACTAAAAGATAGAGACACTTCACTTACTATCCTTAAAAAAGTACCAATTGAATAAGAAATGCACATATTAAATGGTACAATAGGTTTTTCCAACTTTTTATCAGGTTCTCAAAATCAAGGGTCATAGTTGGGCTTCTGCTGCGCAAGTCCACTGGGCTCCTGTAAAAGTTAAGCCCATATAACTTTGAAGCCTGTCAATTGCGCCTTAGACGAAGCCCATTAAACTTCATGCCTATTAACATTAGACTAAAAACCGCCATCTTACTTTTATGAGAAGAGATACTTCAATGGTGTTAAGTATTTTCTATTTGTCAATTAAATTTCTATAAATTTAGTACAAAAAATAAAAATAAAAAGGGATTTACGTAATTTAACGTTACTCCATCTCAACAAAGTTCTATGCTTAGCCAAGAATGGATGCAGTCCGGACTCTTTTGCTGATTTAAACTTGTACTATTATTCGCCTGTATTTGCTATTTCAGTTTTTAATAGAGATGGGATAGGCACTGCGTGGCCTAGACAAATCTCATGTTGTAATGACTACTAAGTTTATGTTATGAATAAATGTCTCTAATTACCAAAAAAAAAAAAATTTATCGTACCCTTTTCTTAATCTTACCTTGTTCTGATCTTAAAGCAAACTATTAGAGCTTATTATAAACTTTTAATTTTAGTGTCACGCGGTGAAAATAATACGTTATTTAACAGAATTAAATTACTAGCAAATGAAGATGTTGTTGTTTTAATGATTCTTTAGGGTCATAACCTTCAAAACAAGTTTTATTTTGTAAATTTTTATTATACAAAGGAGGAAGTGGAAGGAAAAATGAGGGAGCCTTGTAAAGTGAGGAATGTCTATCTTTCTGCACTTATTTTGGGCATACAAAATCACACAGACAAATTTCTTTATTTTCTATGACGGATTCAGAATTAACACTGTGAGTTTTGAACTGAGGGGTTAGCATTCGACTGAAGCACTAAATTTTATACAACTCATGGTTATATTAACACTATTTTCCTCCAACCAAAAAAGAGAAAAAGAAAAAGGAGTTAGATGATTATGTATTATAATACTACATGCATTCTACTTTTTCTATATAACATTAGATTACAACATGTTTTCCCGATAACTTGGTGTCAAATATTCCTTCATAAAAAAATAATTAAAAAAAGCTCTTCAGATGAAGGAATAGATCACTTGACCAAATCTACTTTTTAAAAGGTCATAAAGTCGTTCTAAGAAAATAATCATGATTAGCATTACTTTCAAACTACTAGTAGTCCTGTTACCTCTACTTTGACTCCTTTAATTATTCAGTACCCTTTTATTAATTTAATAATTAGATATTCTTTACACTAAATAATAGGGCTTTTCTTCTTAAAGCTACATAAACAAACTGATTTTACAATCAACACCATGCCACCATGCTGTATGTCGGGGTGACATCCTGTCATTTAAAACACAATTTCTTTCCAGGAATTTGGTAGTTTCTTATATTCTTTTAGTCTAAATAAAACCAAAAATACCTTAAATTAGACTACATTCAATTTTACTATAATATATATAGTCCTTAGTTTTATGTTTCCTAGGTTTTGACCACACGAGTGAGAATCAAACCTTTAGCCATTACATAAAAGGAAGAAAACTTGTAGGCCCATGACAATATATAGCATCATCCAAATACGATCGATTAACTATTATTATTTGCTTTTTTGACCACAAAAGAAAGAGAAAAACATATAAGAGAAACCATGTTTAGGTTTTAGAAATTAAACTTTTATAAGAAATTAACTGTATGGATGTTGTGACTTGCATGAAGGGTTAACCACTTTTATCAATATAGTGGATATTCAAAGTTCGATTTTTAGCTAGTTTGAGTTTAAGACTGCAATGATTTTATGATTTTATTTTCTTACTAATATTACTTTTTATTATTTTTGGTACTGCTATATTGTGTATTATTAACACACAATATAAAACAAATTCTTTTTACTAAACAGTAAACACTGTTGGATGACCCTTACTTAATTAATAGTGCCTCTACCACTGCCTAAAAATGAAACTACTTTTCTGGTGCCAATATTATGAAGGGTAATCCGAAAAAACTAAATGAAGATTATTAATATAATATAGGAAGGTGGCAGCTGTCCGACAAAATATAAAATCAAAATCTCAAACCATCAAATAACGACATTTTCTTTACTTAGAAAGGACGTTAAGGCAATATACTTAGTTACAAATTAAACAGACAGGGGATGCACCACATCTTTGAAATTGTTAGTTTCTAGATTCTGAGTAGTTAAGGTCATACCATTTTTCTTCTCGATGAAATTTTGTCCAATTTCCAAATCTGATATTCTATTAAAATATTTTTTTTTCTCATTGGTCAAAGGTTCAAGGTACAACAATCTTCTGCCTCAAATTTTTTTCCCAACAAAATTCTTTTTTCCAGTAAAGTCAAACCTCTCTATAACAGCCTCATTTGTTCCGAATATTTTTGGATGTTATAGTGAAGTGCTGTTATATAGAACATATATTATAGGCCAAATACATAAACAGCCACCTAAAGTTGCCACGTTTTTACACTTAGACACCTCAACTAAGGTTGTTTCCTATTGAACACTTAATGTTAGTGGGAAGTGTGTCTATTGAACACAAATGAGTGACATGGCACGGTGAGTGTATTCCACCCATTTTAAGCGCGTGAAATGCCTTTGAAATTGATTAGTTGTTTCTTTTTTTAAAATTCTTTTTCTCTGTTTTCATGTTTTACTCTATTTTCTATTTTTTGTCTTTCTTGTTTCCGTTTTTATTTTTACTTTTTTTGGTGAGGGGGGGGGGGGGGGG